AGCTGATGATCAGAGACTGGGTTCAAGAAAAGGGGCGATTTAGCGGTCGATGCTTCGGACTGCAGGAGTCAGGGTGGTGGCTCCCGGACGAGAGATCTTCTGCCAGGAAGTTTGCTTCGGGATCCCTGGGCCAAGAGCCTGGGTTCTTGATAAGGAATGTAACTTTCAGCTACCATAGTATGGGGTCTATGGTAGCAAGATATGGTTGCCTTCTCTTAGTAAACTGAAGGTTAAGTTCTTTATCAAGAGCCTGGAAGCTCGGTGAAGTCCGGCTGGCCAGGTGTGCGGGAACGTCCTGGCAGATGTCGGGCTCTTCTCTTTGGCGCTGTTGTTCCTCATACTGGCTTTCGCCACTTCGATTAGCGCCTCAGCTGAATAAGCCAGACTGTGCCAAGCCATCCAAGGCAAGAAGCCCGAAACGCTACTAAACTTTTTTTTATGTTTGCGTAAATGGTTTCCAACCACCGGGACTATCACCACTCTCTAAACTCTGACTTGCGAAGCGTATGATGGACCCCACTGAGACCTCCTCCTACTATAGGGGCCTCAATACTTACCTATATTACTCTGGGGGTTCCTTATTATAATCAATACTATAAGGGACCCTAAAATCCTGTTCTATTATTCCCTAGAGCATCCTAAACCCCCAAAACTCACACCGAAACGGAACCTTAAACCTTCAACGCCGTAAAGGCCCCTCTCTGAAACTTACTCTCGGTGATCTAGAGCAGTCGGGAGATCACTTCACCTGGCGCATAAGTCAGAACGAAATAAGAATCCGATGACAACAACCCCCCCCAACAGGGCATTCTATTCGTTGGAGGCTCCGTTCTTTTTCAATCTGCGGTGGGGACTGCTTCTTGCAGTCTATATACAAGTAAAGTCAAAACTCTAAAGCCCCACAGCACTAGACCCACAAGCCCCAAATCAATTGACCCATGAACCTTTTCGGCCCCAGGCTAGAAGCAAGTGCTTCATTCCCCGGTTCCTAAAGCCTAAATCCCCAAACCTTGACGCGTCTCAACCCGAATTCCCTAAACCCTTAAAGCCATTTCCGCGAGGCCCTAAAGCTGAAACCATCTACGACCCCAAACCCTGAACCACCACAACGGCAAAACCCGTAAAGACTGAACCCCGTACTACCCCACACCTCAACTTCGCAGGCACATCCTAAAACCCAACAAACCCCTCACAAAACCCACTAAAGCAGGTTTCAAACTGGTGTAGAGCACGAGCTTCTCAAACCCTTAGACGACCCGTTTCAGAATCCTGTAGGTCGCTTAAGGGCCTGAAACCCTAAACCCTAGCCCCAACCCCTAAACCTCTAGGGGGGCTGAAAGCGAGAGGCTCGCTGAATCATCGACTGGCCGAGTTCGATGGGGTGGGCCCCTGGCTCACGGGCTTACTGCCCTTTGCCTGATATACTAGCAGTATACCATATTTTAAGAAAATACATTGTCATATGTACATATACGCACATGTATACAGATAGATATATATATATATATATATATGTATATATATATATATGTATATATACACACATACAGGCATGCATGCATACATATATATATATAGACATGCATGCATACATATATATATATATACACATACATATATAAATCTAGTCTCTTGAGGGCTATGAAAGCGGGTGTTGAGGGGTTTGTTTTGTTTGAGGGGGGGAACCTGGGGTTGATGGGGTTTTGTAGGGCCCTGGTGCTACGCGGGGAAATGGATTGGGTTGTGTGAGAGGTGGGGGTTTCAGAAAATAGGGGACCCTAATATAGTACCCTAAATAGTGGGATCCTTATTATAAGGACCCCCAAATAGGATACCCTAATCTTCGGAAACTCCCAGGTGTTTCGAGTTGAGAGTAGACTTAGACTTTGCAGTTTTGGGTTCTGGGCTTGGGACTTTATTCCTTTTTCAGGGGAGGGGGGAGGGGGCCTAGCTAGACTGAGGCAGCCTTAGGAGATATTGGGTCACGGGTTTGAGGCTTAGGGTTTAGGGTTTAGGGTTGAGGGAGTGTAGAAAGGGGGATTCACGCGGGCTTGTTGGGGGAGGGCTTCAGGAGAGCTTCGGCGGGCTTCCCTAAGCCCTACAGCCTAAGCCTTAAAGTCCCTAAAGCCTCAGCGCTCTCTGACTCCCGAAGATCCCTAGTTGCTAGTCCTTGTCGCAAGGATCCTGTGATCTATGGCCCTTTGTTTCTGCAGCTGTCCTCGCTGGGACTTTTATGCAGACGCCTAAATAGTTACCAATATTATTCTTAGGGCTCCTTATTACAATTATGCTATGAAGAGCCCAAAACCCTATTCTAATCATTAAAGCCCCTACATGAGGAAGTCTTGTGGTGAAGGAGGAGCTTGGGCTCTGTCGGGGGAGATCTAGGTGTGGGGTTCAAGGGTCTTAGTGGGTCGGTCGTGGCTTTCAGCCTAAGCAGCTCATGCGCCTAGCTTCTCTAAACTACATGCGATGCCAAGAGCAGGAAATCACCGACGTCGTAAAGACTTCGCTGCTTTCACACGCCTGCCGACCCTTAAATGAACATTAAACACCGGAATCCTCATCTCTACAGTAGGAACTCAGCAATCGCAAGCCGCAAACTAGCTCCCTAAACCCTATAACTTTAGATCCAAAGCTCTTCTGAAGAAGCCTAAACCCCTGCTAAACCCTATAAAGCTCATCAAACTCCTTTGGAAGCCCTGTAGTCGCCTTTTAGGCAGATGACTCTCGGCATGTTCCCGCCGGCCAAGTATGGAGACTTCCGGAGTGAAGTTGCCGTTTTGGTGGCCGTGTCGGTGTTCGTGGCAGTGCCCGGGTGGCAATCCGAGGTTTCGGGGTGCAGTTTTTTTTTTTTCGTGTTGTGTGTGTGTGTAGTTTTGTTCTTAAGGTCGCCTTTTGCTTTTGTTGGTCATTCGTGAATATCTTTTTGACGGGTACTTGGGGATTTTGGAGGGCCGCTAGGGCTCAAGCTCCGAAGGCAGGCATCGCAAAGTCTGGGGGTCAAGGGATGGGCGTGGCCATAGCTGAAAGCTAGTTTGTTTTGTTTTTTTTGCGTTCCTAGAAGCATGCAGTACTGATATCTAGTGGCTGTGTTGTTCTGAAGCAGGACCCCTCATGCATGGTGACCTACAACTCATATGATTGACTTTCTTGAGCTCACTCTTTGCATCATACGAACTCGAGCCCATTCACGGGAGAGCTTGAGTAGATGAGCCGGCGAAGTTGAGGGACGGGAGCCAAACAGACTCTTCAGCTTAACTTTGCACGGCGTTGCTTGCCACTATCTCTGGAGGAAACCCTAAACCCTAAGCCATACAAGCGCTAGTCATTCTGGCTCGAGCACGAGCGACCCCACTGACGACCCTGTGCTTGTGCTACGTTTGAAAGATCTGTGGTCTGTCATGCTCCGACTCCTGTCGATCTTGGCAGCCCTGTGGGTGTCCGCAGGACAGACCGCCGAGGACGACAGGGTGTTGGACAACGCGGCGGCCACCGTCGACAAGTACTGTGCGCTCAACGCAGATCTGGAAGAGCTCGACGTCGATGCAGCGCGCGAGGACCTGGAAGGCGGCGCCGGAGAGGACAACTTCATCGTGAAGCTCATCGAAGAAGCGGGCATCGCCCGTCAGAACGGTGACACCCCGGCACAGATCGCTGATCGATTCGGCGAGATCGCGGACCCGGGCTTTGTGGCCTCAAAGGCCTTCGCTATGGTTCTGGCGATCTTGCTCTTCGTGTTGTGGGTCCTCTGCTGCTGGTTCGTGTGCTGCCCGTGCCTCTGCAGAGCTTGCTGCCGATGCTGCCAGCGCAAGTGGGCCACCGGTAAGATTTTCAAAGGCATCCTCTGGCTGCTCTTCATCGCCTTCGGTGTCGCAGCCGTGATCATGGTCTCCACATCGATGAGGGGTGCCACGATGATCGACAATGGCATCTCGGGCACGGCCTGTGCAGCCGCCACCTTGATCGAGGACGCCGTCGCTGGCTCTCCAACTTACCAGTTCACCGGGCTCTTGCCGGCCTACAACACGCTCGCCGGGCTGGCCACCATCCTGAACCCCGGCTCCTCCTTCCTGAACCAACTGCAGACCATCATTGATCAAACCCAGGAGACTCCATAGGTAGTATGATTAGGGGTACCCCTTAAAGGGTACCCCTTCTGAGCCCTACTATTGGCTCTCTTAAACGGGACCTTATTGAGAGGGTCTGTGTCCCCCAAGGACCCCCCTAATCCTAGCTCCCAGGAGATCCAGAAGGCCGTGGACCTTGCATCTGGCACCATCGAGGCACTCGAGACGATGATGAACAACCCGGTGAACATCAACCCGGTGTCCGATCCTACCAACCCGTCTTCGTCCACGATGTACCACAAGTGCCAGGTCTGCGAGCCCTTGGCTGAGATTTTGGGCAGGATCAATGACGTCTTTGCAAGCAGTACCGGTGAAGCCATGGCCCAGCTGCGTGGAAAGATCGAGGAGAACCTGCAAGGACAAGCTGCCGAGGACCTCCGAGTCTCCATCACGGCGGCCATGGAACCGATCCAGGCAGCCAAGGACGCCTTCGTGGAGCAGGTGGGCTTCTTCGTCGAGCCCGGCTCTGGTGGATTCCAAGCGTCCACCGAGATGGTTGCGGGCGAAAACTCCATGTTGCAGCCGGCAGTGCTGGCCTTCTTCGCCCTCTACTTGCTGATTGCTGTTAGTGCACTCATTGCGCTGGCCCTGTGGTCTGCCAAGGATCAGCAGGGCGAGAAGCCGGACCACTGCTGCGTCCGATTCTGCACTGGCTGCGTCTCCTGCAGCGCTTGCATCTATGCCATGATCGTCCTCCTCATCTGTGGCATCATGGTCATTGTTGCCATGTTCGGTAGCGGCCTTTGTCTCGTCATGATCGACTTCAACCAGGAGACCGGAACCAACCTCATGGCAGCTGTCGGTGCTGATGTCCCAGCAGAGGTGGAGATGGCTTTGAAGATTGCGGACAGGTGCTTTAGCCTCACTCATCCGGAGTTTGACCCGGGCTTCAGCCGCAACTTGGCGGACATCGTCGACATCCCGCCCATGAACCAGACCAAGGCCGATGCTGGCGAGACTTCCACCATCCGCGAAGAGATCTTCTCCTTCGCCCTGGACCCGATCCTGCAGCAGATCGACAACGCAGAAGCCTCCCTGGCCGGTGATGGTTCGGCCCCATCCATTGCGAGCGATGCCAACACGCTTGAGCTGCTCGCCATGATCGGAGCACTGGACATGTCGGCTCTCTACCTTCCCGTGGAGAGCGAGTTGGCCGCTACATCTTCACCATACAAGCCGATGATGGACGATGTCCAAGGCTCCACGAGCCCCTTCAAGGCCTATCTGGTGAACAGCGTGTCTTGCTCCAACGTGTCCCTGAGTGAGGACCTCGGGGATTTGGGCGGCCAGTCCGTTCCGGGCATTGAGGCCATGGCCGTGGATGGGTTCACCGTGCAGGGCAGCGATGTACCGGCCCTGAGCTACTACATGGACGCGCCCATGAGCGGATCGTGCCCGTCCTACACCGGCGGTACTTGCAACAACAACTTGACGATGCAGTTTTTCAAGCCGGGATGTGACGCCGCGGTTGCCTTCCTCCAAGACGTCAAGCAGCAGTTCCAGACGGAAGAGCTGTTCATGTGCACTTACATCGTCAACGGCCCCACTGACCCTACTCCGTGCTACCCGCGCAACATGGTGCAATCTGGTGGAGCCTGGACCAATACCTGCCTGAACGGGGGCACCGTGTATCGACGCACTCGGAAATGCACCCTCGCCGAGTTCAACTCCTTCGTCAAGGGTGCCGAGCAGGACATCCGGAAGACCTTCGAGTACTTCGATTCCATCACAAGCTCTTTGTTGACCGCCATCATCACTGACATGAAGGATCTCGTCCAGACGGACATCATCACGCCAGTGGTGGATCTTCTCGACATGTTGAACTGTGGCTTCATGCGAGCTTTCTGGGAGGGCCTGACGACCAACATGTGCTACCGCGGCATGAACGGCTTCCGCCTGATCGCAAACAGCTACGTCATCTCCGGTCTCCTGAGCTTGTGCATCGCCCTGCTGATCATCATTCCTTGGAAGATCTCGAGGGACAATGCAGACAAATTGGCCAGGGAAGGCGGGCCCGTGGTGCAAGGCTCCGTGTGATCAGATTTGCATGGAGAGCCTTTTCAAGGTTGAGTTTGTTCAACCGATGGCATAGTACTGATGTCCTTGAACGCAGGTCCACACTTGCTAGGGCTTGAAATGAAGGTGCAAGGGTACCTAGACCTAGACGATTGCACACTGGCTCTGCAGATGCGTCTTCAAGCTTCTTAAGCACTAAAGACCCACATCTTAAGGCCTACAGCACCGAGTAAATCCTAAACCCGGAACCCTAAGCAAATCTCAGAGCCGAGTGTGTCACGGTTTCTGTTCCTTGTTTTTCGGTTCCCTCGGCTACACAGCCTTTTGCTGGCGCGCTTCAGCCTTACATGTTTATCGGGTTTTAACGTTCGAAGCTGTGCAGAAGTGAGGAAGTGCGCCACTGTGAGCCGAGCGAGCTGTGTTTTCATCAGTGTTTTGCATCGAATTTTGGGTTCAGACAGTCCAGGTTCCGAAAACTTGGAACCTAGACCTTGAGCTCGTACGAACTCGTGATCTAGAAGCCACGTACCACGACGGCGTCTCGGGCCTCAGCCCAGGGCTTCATCTCTTTCAAAACGGAACCCTGCCGAGAGAGAGCCCAATACCCCTGAATTAAGGAATATACCTTAAATTATTAGGGGCTTCATATTATGATTTAAGCCATATTCCTTAATTAAGGGGTTTTGGGCTCTCTGGGTGCTGGCTTAGAATACCTAGCCAGTGTCCGGCTGCCTATTTGGCGACGCCCGCGAGTAGATTGTGGCGAGCCCATGGGAAATGGTCCAGACACGAGCAATACCACGACGGCCTTGACATACATGTAATCCGTAAAGAAAAGCTAAACCTCTAAACCTCTAAACCCTAAACCCTGAACCCTAAACCCTAAACCCTAAACCCTAAACCCTAAATCTCTAGACCCTACGTTCTCACAGCTGTAAACCGTGCAAAAACGACCTGAAACCTTGCAAAGCCCTAGGGCCTTCACGCTTGAAGCCCAAACCCCCTAAAGGTTCTCATGGATATAGTATAGGTATATAGATAAAAATAGATATATACATATATATATATATAGAGATATAGATATATAGATATATAGATATATAGTTATATAGATATATAGATATATAGATATATAGATATATAAATATAAGGGTATATAGATATATATATAGGTATATGTAGCCCTCATGAAACTTTTATACTCATCCTCAAACCTGTCCAAAGCCTTGATCCAGGTATAGGAATCCCTGGCGCCCTGTAAGGAAGAGCCCGCATTCAAAGCCTAAGCGAACGAATTATACCATGAGTTCTAAACCGAAAGCCCCTAAAGCGCTAAATCCCTAAACCTGCTGCAGCTCCAAGATAGCTTCACTTCCGACCCGCGCACCAAGAGACCTCGCTTGGCTAGCCCGAGTTGTGAGAGCGTATTGCCCGAAAGCCGAAACAGCCTGTCCTACTTGGAGGATCATGGGACTTAGTAAGTAAGGTTATAAGTCCCTTAATTGGGGTTATAAGTATAGTTACCCTAATTATAACCCTACTTACTAAGTCCCATGATCCTTTAAGTACTGCCCAGAACCTCCAAAGGTCATCAGCATCTTCCTAGTCAACCTCCTGGTGGCCTCGACAGCCTGGGCTTTCGTCTGTGTCCTTTTTTTCTAGAAGCACTGTTTAGGGTTTAGGGTTTAGGGTTTAGGGGTAGGTCGGGTAGGTGCAACGAAGGCTCCTACAACGATTTAGGGTTTCAGTGTTAAGGGGTTTCTCATCATGAAGGGGTGCCTCGTCTAGTCTAGGAGTCATGATAATGAGGATCTTACTGCTTCGGGCTCGCATTGGGGCTCCAACCACTAAACCCTAAACCCCTAAACCCTAAACCGTTTAGGGTTTGGGGAATGTAACCCGGCTTTCACTTGAATGCTGGGTTCGGCCACCAGGGTTTTTGGCTTCGGAAATCCTCTAGTCGAAACCTGATGTAGGGGTCGGAAGGATGAGTCAAAAATAATTTCGGGGCCTTCATAATTACCTATACTATTTGGGGGTTCCTTATTAGAAGTAATTATAGTATAATAAACCCCAAAGCCCTTATTCTAACAATTAACGGCCCCTACATTACCCCTCCGAGGCCGCTCCCCAAGTAACCGAATGTAGGGACCCCTACTTGGGGATCCCCAAGGACTCTAAAACCTCGTATCAGGCATGCCCACAACACCGTTCGGGTCAGGCTCACAGGTATCTGGAGGAAGGGACTCAAGAATTATGCGGTGCGGGGGCACCAGCATCGAAGAACCACTTTGAGGCGGAAGGTCTGCAACCATTCGAAACTCCGATCTTCTAGACCAGTTCGGGCATCCAAGGTAGCTCAGCTGAATCAGTCCTATCGCGATATCTTCGAGGACATGCAGGGCTTCGCTCGGCTGACGCTTCAGCTTCATCAAGTCAGTTAGCTGTGGGTGTGCAGTTACCCGAAACCGACGTCCTTAAAAGTCATTCCATCGGCTGTTTCCTGGCGTAACCCCATCTGGCTTCAGCCTTTGATCTTTTTGTTTTTGGGAAAGTTCGTAGCAGCGAGGCCTTCCTTTCCAGTCACGAGGGACTCACACATGCTCTGCTGAGCACAGTATAGTAGTAGTATTTTGTAACATGCTATCAGAACCCCTACCTGATGTCTTGCACCAAGGAACCGAGCCAGCGTGACCTCGGATATCATAGACCAGATGAGCCGGAAAAAGTGGACCAAGTTCCTGAGTCACCTCCGCTCCATGGCGCGGGCTTAGCGCAAGAAGCAGCCAACAATGCCTCGCCGGGATGCACACTTACGTTGATGTCATTGAATGATAGTCTCTGTGGATATACCTTATATGTCTATATCCAGATAGTGTGCAATATAACATGATGCCTCATTCTACCATTCTATGCTCTCTACGAAATATGTAACGTGTTGTAGCTCTTCTACAACTTCTGCAAGCAGGGAGGCATGGATGGCATGCAAAGCGAACTCCCGACACACTCACTCCCTGAACCAGCCGTTGGATGTCGGGCTTGCGGGTAGCCTCCTCCTCCCCCCAGTCAACCTTTCCCTTCTTTGGGCAGACAGGGTCCTGCCCTAAACCCTAAACCCTAAACCCTAAACCCTTAACCCTAAAGGAAGGGTGGCGGTTGCATGGCTAGGGCACTCAGTCCGGACACCCCCAGAAATCCAGAGGCCCCGACAAAACCTGAGACCCTAACACACTCTACTCTTCAAGCCCAAAACCACAGTTCTCTCTGTTGAAGCCCTATATCATATAACTTCAAGCAGGCTCGTCCTTGCCAGGTAGGAGGGAAAATAACCCCACGAACCCCCACATAATATAACAGGTCTGCACCCCTTCTTCAATGCGCTCTGTGGCCAAGGTTTCGAGGACCCACTCGAGTTCAACGAGGGAGATGCCCCTCATCTCCTCTAAGAGTTACTGTATAAGTTACCAGGAGGCATGCTGTAACGCTCCTTCAAGATTGCTTTCGGAGGGCGGGGGCGCCGATCTCTTCTGGATTAATATACTTAGGTTTCCGTGTCCATACATATACGACAAAGGAGCCTGAAGCCCGATACTAATTACTAAGGCCGCTGCATTCGATTCGTTAGTCGGTGTTGGGGCTTTAGGGCGGCAGGTCTTTCAGTCCACCACTTGAAGTCGCTCAGGTGGCGAATGTTGCGCTGATGTTTCGCTTTCCGCCCTTCTCCTCTCGCTTTGGGGGGTTGAGGGTTTAGTCCCATCTCTTTCCGGGTGTGGGATGCAACTTTCCGGGTGTGGGATGCAACGTCGTCTTCCCGGGCACTGTACCGATCAACCACCCCAGGACCGATCCGAAACCCTAAACCATGACCCCGAGTGTGCTGTCAAGCCTCTAAACCCCGAAGCCTAGCCTCATAGCTGAGCAGCTAATATAGGGGGTTAACTACCCATACGATTTGGGGGGTTTCCTTATTATTAAGTCCCCTACATTACACTGCCATGATCTTCCAGCTGCCCCGCTCTTCGTCGCCTGCATCACGTGGTCATCACCACCATCGATGCGGTGCATTTCATCCCAAGAGGGCGGTGAACCATGAGATCGTTGGGTCGTCCTGGGAGGTCTCCCCCGATGATGGTTCTTCTTATTGCTCTTATTCCCAGCAGTACTAGTATTGTTGGTGTTCTAAGTATTACGATTACTGTTCTTATGATTATCATTATTAGCATTGCTATTCTTATTCCTATTGTTACTGGCATTAGCATTTTGAGGTCGGCATGGCTGGCGGCATCCAGGTGCTAGAGCCTGCAAATGCCAACATGGTCACAGAGGCCAGGAGCTTCGTTGCCGAGTGGGTAGTTGTCGAAGTTAGGGTCCCTTCTAGGGTTCTTTTTTACAAGGGTGCCGTACTATTTCGGGGACCTAAGAGGGGACCCTAATTTAGATAACTACCCATGTAAGCCTAAACCCAGATCAGCCCTTTGAACTTTGCCCCTAAACCCTAAACCCAGATGTGAATATCAACCCGGCTGTTATGCTGCAGAATCCAAGGTTGCTCTGGACTCTGATGGGCGTGTGGTTTTAGGCCTTAGGGCACTTTGGGAGAAATAGTTATTAGTATTAAGGTCAGTATGACTATTAGTCTTAGTATGAGTCTTAGCACTAGTAATGGCCCCTTCATTCTGCAAGGGATCTCCAGCTTTTTGCTGGGCTTCCGAGCTTGGCGACGGTACTTTGCCAGGAATCCCTAAAGCGGGGTCACCTGCTTAGGGTTCAGGGTTTAGGTTTCAGGGTTCTGCTTCATGGCGACGGCAGTTCCGGGCGAGAGAAGCCTGCTGCAAAAGGTTTTAGGGTGCGCTGATCAGCAGAGTTCACAAAGGGTTCAGTCTCTATGGTTTAGGGTTTAGAAAGGAACCCATGGGTTCCTTTCGGTCTTCCATGATAAGCTGCCCAACGTTACGGCAGTGCTCGAAGTCCAAGTCCAATAAGGCGAAGGGCAATGCGGAAGTGCATGCAGCACGCTTTTCAATCGTGTAGGATGGCGTACTGTTTTCAAGAATACCGAGAGTTTCAGGATAAGCCGAAGCCGGTTGCACCGCAGTTTGAGAGAGGGAGATTTGGCACAGGACATCATCAAAAGATATGGTGGCCCCACTGCTCCGTCAACACCCTGGCCACAGGACTCGCGTCTAAGAGATTCAGAAATCCAGGTGATAGAGGGGCCTGAATAGTTAGAATCGGGTTTGGGCGGCCCATTATGCTAGAATTATAGCAATGGGACCCCCCAAAATAGAATTGCTTGGAGGATCATGGGACTTAGTAAGCAAGGTTATAAGTCCCTTAATTGGGGTTAGAAGTATAGTTACCCGGAACTTAATATAGTACCCCAAATAATAGGATCCTTATTATAAGGACCCCAAAATAAGGTACCCCATTTTCGGAAACTCCCATTTCGGCCCCTACACTACCCTACTTTCGACCCGAAACAGTCAGGGCCGAGACCAGGCTCCCCGCCTAGGAGAACTAGGCTCCGGGGCTCAGCGGGGTTCGGGTTTTGGGGTTTGGGGTTTAGGCTTTAGGGTTTAGGGGGAGTTTAGGGGCGCTTTTCTTGGGATTGCCTGCTCATTTGCGGCACTCTTTCCTGAAGACACAACGAGTCGTTGGCCGTTGTCAGCTCGGCTCTGCTGTCTTGGAAAAGCCTTTCCAGAAGCCTTATGCGTCCTCCGTCCCTGTTATTAAGGGTTCCTTCGCGTAAGAATCTGTATAGTTGCAGTTAGCACGCTATCTTGGAATCGTCAAGGACATCAGTCGCCAAACAAAAAGCACCCAAACGGCGGCTAAATCTTGAAGCATGAGTTCCGTCTACCTGTGCATGCTGGAGTAGTTTGATAGGTCTCGACAATCTGTCACTTCAAACGGTCGAAGCACTTTCTGCGTGTACTGTCGGTCAGGGCGTTTGGTTTATAATCCCTCACACAATACAAAGTTTAATACAAAGCAACACGATACAGTAGAACATAAGAGTTAGATAAGGGGTAACATAACATGGGAGGGTTCGATATAATATCGCCTCACATGGCAGAAGACTAACATAGGGGCCTAGATAGTTAGCTATAATAATTTTTTGAGGGGGTTCTTATTGGAAGTATACAAGAATATACCCTCAAACCCTATTCAAATGATCTATACTATTGCGGGGGGTTCTTTCTTAGAATTATAGTAGACTATACCTTCAAACCCTGTTCGAATGATTAAGGCCCCTAAACCCTAAACCCTAAACCCTAAACCGTATCATCGAACCGGAGGGCTTGGAGCCTCGTAGGAGCCCGACGAGCAGAACGACGAGAGCAAGTTCGCGCGCCTCGAAAAGCTGATCATCAGGGCCACGAAGAAGACGAAAGACAAGGCCGGATCTCCGTCACGGCGTTTTTGGGGTTTGGGGGTTTGGGGTTTAGGGTTTGGGGTTTAGGGTTTAGGGCTTGGGGTTTCGGGTTTCGACAAAGGCCGGATGTCCGTTAAGGGATGAGGGTTTAGGGTTTAGGAGCCCTCAAGGGGGGTGAAAGTTAGGACACTTCTGCTGTATAACTCCCTTTTGCAAGAGATGTCAGGTCAGCACATGACAGATAGTCTTGCGGTGTGTGACATCTTACTAAGCTTCTGCATAACTCTCAAGGGGCCGCTGCGTGTTCCCAGGGTTCAGGCTTGTTTTGCGCCCCGGAACCTCGATCCAGAAGCTCTCCTGCCCCGATGTTTTGGTTACAGCATTTCGAGTTTAGGGTGTCGTTTCGGGGTACATAGACCCTATAAACCCTAAACCCTGAACCCGAAACGCGCAGCAGGCGTCCAAGGGCAAGAAGACGCCGAGTGCCTTAGACGCCTCTGACCTCGGCTCTGACCAGGCCCGCCAGCTCCTTTTGGCGCCCCAGTGTGTAGGGTGGTATAATAGACAATATATCATACCATACTCTACTATATAGGCTATAGTAGACTGTAATATACACTTTTAGACTATATATAATTAGTATATATATATATATTATATATATACACACACACATATATATATATATATATTATACTAGATATGATGTTATACTGAACGTCCAGATGAACGTAAGCCGTCCTGAACCCCAATGCTTTCCCCTGCAGGCATCCGACTTTGCCCGGAGTGCATCGCAATGAGATGATAGAATGCACGTGTATGGGTTGTGTGCCTGCACCCGTTCTGTAGACGATTATCAACCTGTCAGTAACCACTGAGAAGGTCTCGTCGAGATCATACCCCAACGTTGTCTTCTGCAGGCATCAGACTTCCAACGCAGTACTTCGAAATGAGATGCCGGAATGCACGTGGCACAGAATTACCTCCGTTGTGTGCCTGCGCCCCAACTACGCCCTGACACGAACCTGCGGCATCCGCCAGCAGAACCACCACTCAGCACCACCACCCGCCCCATCCGCAGCACTCCGCCACTACCAGCACCACCGCCACCACCGCCATCACATCGACCGGGGTCATCACTACCATCATGATACTCGTAAGTCTTTTAGCGTAGGCACCATCATCCGTCGTCGTCATCGTCCGCCTCATCATTATCATCACAGTCTCCCTGATTCTGTAGGACAGAGAGTATCCCCAGAGCCGAAAGTGGGAGCGGTTTTGCTGTTGCTCGAATCATGTATCTGCCGGCGCAGGCCAACCAAAAAACCTATAAGAGGCGTTGGTTAAGGGCTTATTGCTTTGATTGATGTTGATATTGCCGTCACTGTCGTCTCTGATTCCGCTTACCAAGAGTATTACAACGACCATCCGACTTTTTTGCCAAAACGGCCCCGTCCCAGCTTGGCATACAGCTTTAATTAGCTTCGGCTCAGTCACAAGCCTGGAAACATGGGCTGCGTATGTAGGGTGCCTTGGCAGTTTGAAGAGCAAGTTTATAAACCCTACACCCGAAATCCCAAATGCCGAAACCCTAAGACCACCCAAAAAATCCATGAAGGAGCCCTTATATTTTGACCCTTGTTTCGGGCCCCTGGCAAGACCCTGAGCCGCAGGGTTAGATTCCGATCACTGCCGAGGATCCCGAGTAGTGGGCAAAGCCCATCTTGCGACCTTTCACTGCCTGCTCGGAGTGGCTGAATACACCAGTTTAGGGTTTAGGGCTTAGGGTTTAGGGTTTAGGGCTTAGGGCTTAGGGCTTCGGGCTTCGGGCTTAGGGCTTAGGGTTTAGGGTAGAGTAGAGCTATGGCAGTTGGTAAATCCTCTGGCTTTACTTCCCTACTCAAGTCTGCACCCATCGGCCTTCGTGTGTAGATGGGGGTGATCGAACATCTCTTCAGTGCATGAAGCTCCTTACCACGGAAATATGTAACAGAAAGAGCAATCCGAGCTGAAAAAGAGCAGCCAGAGCTGAGACCGCACTCCTTAAAAGGACGAAGCGGCCAGCACGTGACTGCTGTGACGAGACGCCCGGCCATCGCTTTGACCGTGCTACATTAACAGGCCACTACAGGGCCGCCCCAGGTTTCGGGCTCTTTTTGGAGGGATTCGTCGATGTTATGGCTAATTATGGGAATTCACCGAGCGCCCTAAGCCCTACCTGTGCCGTACGTACATGCCTTGCTGGGATTTTGCACGGGCAAGGAGGCGAAACTGCATGTCCCGAAGGGCTCTCGCGGCACACCGTCAGCCTTGCCTAACAGCACTGTCAGGCCCAAGATAATTGACCCAAGTCGAGAACTGGCAGCTTCCAGAAACAGCATCGCCGAGACTTAAAGGTGCTAGTACAGGCCGAAGTAACGATCACAGGAACGGTGCACCTTGTACTTCGCCCACTGATACCCAAGAATCGAACACGTGGAATGCTGGCCGAGTGCGAGATTTACGGAATCTTAACAGGGCCAACCGGCTGAGACTCTGAACCAAGGCTTTGCTCTTTTAAAATTTTGGCCACATAGGAGAAGCAGTGATTGTAGAGGGTGCCTGCTTGCTTGAATCTCGAAAACCCTAAGGTCAAGACTGGCAAGTGCCGCCTAGGAGGGGCCAGACTCCGCAGCTCGCTTTTCCCATTTCCCAGTCTCACCACGCAGAGCGAGGGTGTTCTTGTTTTCCTTGGTGCTACTTCAGCATTTGAGATCAGGCAATATGTGTAGAAGAAAAATGACGACGACGACGAGTGAGGTTGCGGCAAAGATGACGCATAACATGTGTGGTATTTTGCTTTGTGTCTTGTCGGTGGTGGCGATTAAGACGATGATAAGACATGTGATGGGTATGGTTAGGACGCTGGTATACGGCTCTGTGATGGTTGCTAGCTACGACTACTACCGCTACTCCCACTGCTGCTGCTGCTACTACTACGACGCCGACGACGACTACTATTACTACCACTACCACTACCACTACAACCTCCACTACCACTACCACTTCACCTACCACTATTACTACCATTACCACTACCACTACTACTACCA